CCAACAGTGAATCAGGGTTCCAGTTTCTCCACAACCTCGCCAGCATTTGTTGCTTGCTGTTCTGTTAAATTTTGCTATTTTGACTGGGGTGAGATGCTATCTCATAGTTGTTTTAATCTTAGCTCCATTTCTGATTCTCTTTGTCATTGTAGAGAAATCCAGTTGATTTTTGTATGTTGATCTTACATCCTGCCGTTTTGTTGAATTGGTTGACTATGTTCAGTAGTTTTCTTGCTGAGTCTTTAGGGTTTTTTAAGTGTACTATTATATCATCTGCATATAGAGATAATTTTACCTCCTCTTTGCTAATTTGCATACCTCTTATTTCCTTCTATTTTCTTATTGCTATTACTAAGACTTCCAATGCAGTATTGAATAGGAGAAGTGATAATGGACATCCTTGACTAGTTCCTGTTCTCCAAGGGAATGCCTTTAATGTTTCTCCATTGAGAACAAGGTTGGCTCTTGGTTTTTATATATACTTTTTACTATGTTGAGGAAATTCCCCTCTATTTGTTGAGTGTTTTAATCTGGAAAAGGCGTTGGAGTATTGTATTTTGTCAGAGGCCTTTTGTGCATTGACTAATAGGACTATGTGGTTCTTGTTCTTTGCTTTGTTAATATGATGAATTACACTGATTGGTATTTCTCATGTTGAACCATCCTTGCATACCTGTTAGGAATCCCACTTGGCCATGGTGAATTTTTTTTAATGTACTTTGAAAACTATAGTCCAGGATTTTATTGAGAATTTTGCATCTGTGTTCAATATCTATGAGAGATATTGGCCTATAGTTTTCTATTTTGGTGGTTTCTTTACCTGACTTTGGTATCAAGGAGTTTTTTTTTTCTTCTTCATAGAATGAGTCTGTTAGAATCCCATCTTTTTCTATTTTCTGAAATACTTTATGTAGAATTGGTGATAGTTCTTCTCTGAATGATAAGGTTCACTAGTAAAACCAACTGGTGCACAGCTTTTGTTGTTGAAAATTTTTGTTGTTGTAAGTTGTTTTATTACCCTTTCATTTTCTTCTTTTGTAAACAGTTTGTTCAGGTGTTCTATATAGATCTGTGTCAGTTTAGGTAGGTTGTGACTTATTAATTGTCTATTTCCTCTAGATTTTCATATTTGTTTTAGTTTTTCATAATATTACATTGTTATCATTTTTATTTTAATTAGTTCTGTTATGTCATTGCCCCTTTTGTCTCTTAATCAGATTACTACTCAGATCATTTGTCTTTTCCTTTGTTAGTTTTGCTAGTGATTTGTCAATTTTATTGACCTTTTCAAAGAACCAACTCCTGGTCTTGTTGATGATTTCAGTTGTTTTTGTTTCTATTTCATTTCTTTCTGCCCTAATTTTTATAATGTCTTTTTTTAAGAGGGTGTTGGATTTACTTGCTATTCTTTTTCAACTTTTTTTAGATGTTGGGTTAAAGAATCAATTATCATTTTTTTTCTTCCCTTTTGATATTTTTGCTTATTGCTATAAATTGACCTCTAATTACTACTTTTGGCTCTTTCCCGGAGGTCTTGATAGGTTGTGTTTTCATTGTCATTTGTTTCAAGAAACTTTTTAATTTCATTTTTTATTTCTTCTGTTACCCACTCATGTTCAGACAAGGTGTTGTTCAGCTTCCAAATGATTTTTCCCCTTTATCCTCTTATTATTAATGTATAATATTGTGCCATTGTGATCTGAGAAAATGCTTTGTATTTTTTTCTGTGTTTTTTTAATTGATGCTTGCTTTGTGACATTATCTATTCTGGAGAATATTCCGTGCACATTGGAAAAAAGATACACTGTGCTTTTGGGGGTTATATTAGCCTTTATATCTATGAGATCAAGTTGATTTATTGTGTGGTTTAAATCTTTAGCATCTTTGTTGAGTTTCTTTCTGGTAGTTCTAGCTTTTCTTGGAAATGGTATATTGATGTCTCCTACTACTATTACGGTAGTGTCTATTTCTTTTTTCAGTTCTGTTAACATTTGCATTTTGCAGCTCTATCATTGATGCATATGAGTATAATTTTTCATCTCTTGCCTTCAGAGTCAATAGAGCTCCTATGACACTTTTGGACTAATTGGGACTATGACATGAATCTATTTTTCATTAGTTTAAAGAATTCCAGGCTTTCCATGAACTGTGAACTCTTTTATTCCAGGTAGCCACGTGGGAGAAGCAGATCTACACTTGCTGTCGGGATGGTCTTGTGCGACGCTATCAGCTTTCTGACCTCTGACCTCTTGGACAGAGGAGTCTTCAGGGAAAAGATTGATCTTGATAAACAGTGAACAGAAATACCATCAACCTTCTCAAGGATCATGATCTGTTATTGACTTAAGCACCCTGTTTATCACAGAAACAGCTGTACAGCCCCATGTGGAACTGTCAACTTATGACAAGATCTGCTTTGAACTTCATGTGTATTCATTTCATTTGCCCAACTTGTCTTTGTGTAAACTCACCTCAGCAACAAGTACAGCAGAAGGGCATGGGTGCTTATAGTTTGATGTCATAATAGTTGTGACCACATGACTAAAGTGTGTTCTCTGAAGGAAATAAATATGTTTTGAGAGGCCTTGTTTTTAAAGACTTTGAATATATACTCTTATTCATAAAAATGTAATCCAAGCCAGTGGAACTCTTTCCTCAGACACTTTCCTTGTTGGCCTGGCCATAGAGAGAACTGCTTGGCAGTAGCAGTAAATATCCCATAAGCAGCAAGCTGAAGTGTTTATATTCTGATATAATCAATCTCACCTGGGTTTTACCATAGCAACTATAGAGAAACATTGGTCAAATAGTTCAGTACAGATTAGTAAGTAAGCACAATGAAGCCCATGTGTACCTTGCCTGTGGCATAAGCCATACATGTCTGGGTCACACAGGATAAGATAATCATATGTATGTTAGGGAGGAAGGTATGAGCCTATTGTATGGTTGACTGAAATGTTAATGTATATTCTCATGTCAGTGCCTGGATGACATAAATAGCTCATTTCTTGACTTCTAACTGAAAGATTGTTGTCAGCAGTGTTGGCTGCAACTGATGAGGCTGGGATTCCAACCAACATGTGCAGAACACAATGGGTTAGTGGTTTGTTTTCTTAACCCCTCAACCAGCTCATCTACCACAGTGCTATTTAGAGGCAAGGATAGTGAAACTTCATCTCACTTTGGGCATATTCTTAGGAGAAAATATCTTTAGGAGAAAACCAGTCCTTAGAGACATCATGCTGGGAGAGGTAATTAGTCTAAAGAGAGGATGACTCTCATCAAGATGGACTGACATAGTAGCTACCACAGCAGCCTTGAGCATGACAGAAATGATGAGGATGGTGCAGAATAGGGCAAGGTTCACATCAGTTGTCTGTAGTCACTCTGAGTGATAGTTGACTATTAAACTAACAACAACTGTAGTTTATAGGTTGGTTCAAACCCACTCTAAGGTGGCTCAGAGGCAGACCTGGTGATCCACTGCTGAACAATCACATCCTTGAAAGCCCTACAACTTGGTGACAGTTAACAGTAGTGTTCACATGGAATCCTGGTGCTGTCAGAATATGTGGAAGTACTCAAAGAATGATGGGAACATTGGTTTCAATCTTTAGGATTACTCTGTGATGTGTAGGTAATGAAAGTCAAAGAGTTGATTTCTCAAGGGCTATAGAAAGCAGGAACATGAATGGTTAATCTTAACCTTAAATCTCATTTTTTCTACCTAATTCTGGTTTTTTTTTATCCCCCCTTTAGGCCAAAACCAAAGTTAAACAAAAAAAACCCACTTTGTTGAGTATACTGAGTATCTGTCTACTTCGTTGTCAGTACTGTATTTGCCTATTCTCATAAGATTTTCTAGAAAATAGCATTATTCCTATTTTTCATATTTGGAAAACTGAGACTCAAGAAGTTATGTACCAGAACAAAAGCTATGAATTGGACTTTGGACAGTCTGTCTCCAAAGCTCTTGTTCCTTCAAATATCCCATGTAGTCCTAACAGCAAGAGAACTCTATAGCTCACGAAATGCCATTTGAGGAGGGATTTGTGATATGCAAGGGAGACCAGAGGGACAGATTGCTGAATCGCTGACTCCTAGGAGGTTATAGAAAAACAGGATGAGCTCACAGAGCAGTTGACTGTCAGCGCAGGTCTCTGAGTTCCTATTTCTGAGCTGTCTTCTTTTTTGCTGTCACATTCTTGAGCTCCTTTTCATAAATCTCCATCCTGTCAGCTGCTCTGAAATCTAGACCCAGTTTTACAGGGCAGAGCAGAGACCAAGCCTCACGTATCCTATAGCTTTATCTACTGTGAATGGCAGCAGTTCAGTCTGCAGCAGACAGTATGCAGCAGACAAAGCTTCTTTTTTAGGGTTGAGAATGCATTCTGGGTAAGGAAGGGTAGCACAACCCCCACCTCACATACCTCTGCAGAGCTAGTGAAGCTCTGCACTAGACCTTGTTTCTTGTTTCTTGGCTTTCAGGTGCCCCCTTGTGGCTTCTGCTGAGAAGTACCTCTTTTTCAGGCCTGAAAAACCGATAATTCGCTATTTGATATTAGCTATTGATCTTATTCTCTTTGTCAGGTACAGCCTTCACAATAGCCTTTGGAAGGCTGACACTTTTCCTCCCTTTGAACAAGTCTTTTCTTGGATATATTTTATCTTGAAATAATTTCAAATTTACAGAAAAAACTGTAAGATTACTGTATTTTCCCACCCAACTCTCCCAATTGTTAATTTTTTTATCATATTTGCTTTTTCATTACCTCTTTACACATGTATACAAGTTATATATGCTATAGATGCGTGTTTTAATTTCATGACAGCAGGGTTCAGTTCTGTTGTTCATAGGGTTGCTATGTGTCATCAGCTCTTTGGCGTCTAACAATAAGATGAGAGATAATACAGAGCTTTGGCAACAGAGTACATAATATAGCGGACCACTAACTGAAAGGTCGGCAGTTCAAATACACTAACCCCTCTAAAGGAGAGAGATATACAATCTCCTGTAAGGACTCACAGTCTTGAAAACCTGATAGATGGTTGCTGTGACTTGGAATCAACTAAGCAGTGGTTTAGTTTTCAATATAATTTTTGTTAGCATTTAGGGATATTTTCTCATGTTGTTGTTAGATGTCAACAAGTTGAATACAACTTATAGTGACCCATAGTCCCTATAGTCAACAATAGATCTGAACCCTGTCCTATCCTGTGCCATCTCATAATTTCTGACATGCTTGAGCCCATTGCTGCAACCACTGTGTCAATCTGTCTCATCAAGGATCTTCCTCTCTTTTGCCTCCCTCTACTATTTGTCTCCAAGAATAGCCTCTCCTAACAATATGCACACAGTGTGTGGACTGAAGTTTTGCCTCCAAGAAGCATTCTGACTTCTCCAAGACATATCTTTGTTCTTTTGGAAGTCCATGGATATTCAATATTCTTCTCTAGCATCACAGCTCAAAGACATCAATTCT